TCCATTCATTGGAGGGTAGTGGGTGAATAGGATAAACTCATAGCAGTCTACCGAATTTTAGTCAAGTACTATAGTCAGAGAGAATGGAAGATGAAAAGACTACAAAATCATGGGCTAAAGGCAAATGTTACTTATAGTCATATTGCTTGAAAGCAGCTATAAAGGGTATTGAGAGAGGAGTCAAGTGGTGCCTCATTAGTGCTGCCCCTGGGGGAAGATGTGAGCCCCTGGAAAGCGTGAATCCCTACCCTGTGCTTAATCTCCTCTTGGACCCCCCATGCATCAGTGCTTTTCCCATAACACACACGCTCACACCCCCTCACACACATGACATCCTCTCACCTCCACTCACCCCCACTCGCATACATAGATGCACACACACTCACATCCTCTCATATCCACAGTACCCTCTCATACCTACTTACACCCACTCACAATCACACATGTAGATGCACACTCACTCAAACACACAAACACACAGTTATACACATACTCATACACACCTTCTCAGAATATGATCCAGAAGGCAGACACTTCATCCCACTGGGGCCTCAGTTTCCTCACCTGAAACATCAGGGATGTGGATCATGTGATGTTTAAGTTGCTCTCAGCCCCATTGTAAGCAGAGAGAGAATCTCTTTTCCTCAACATGTGTTCCCACCACTCTTGCACTGAGGGCTTCTTGAAAACCAAAGGTGCTGAAATGATTAAGAAGGGAACTGAAATGAAACCATGTCAGCCTTTTCAGTTAACGGATTTTGTAACCTGCTAAGCTGGTCTGGCACTTTTAGACCTGTTATGCAGGATGGCTTTTTGTTGATCTTCTTTGGACTTCCAAATACTTCCCCTTGGCATGGTCCCATCCCTCCTACTTTTACTGTCTGGCCAGGTGGGGTGACATTGGAGGCCGGGCCCACAGTCAGGGCCATTTGGTGATGATGAGGTTGCAGCTCTGGCCACAAACACTAGAAAAGTGAGTCACTTTGTGGTGATGACCTTGAAGGGAGAGACTATCCAAGGTTGCTTCTCAGCAGCAACTCTAAAGGCCCAAGATGCACATCAATCCCCTTGTCATACCACCTTGCCACAGGCAATGAACATTTATACCTATTAATTACTTCATTTGGTTATTACAAGAGCTGTAAAGAGAAGAGAGTTCAAATATTCTTGTTGCACTTTTTGATAAAAGGTTAAGTGGCTTGCCTATGGTCACAGCTAATGAGGCGCAGGAGTAAGGCCAACACAGGGATTTTCTTCTGATTGACAGACCCAGGCCTTTCCTGGAGTTTTTATTTCTTAAAAATACAGATGTTTGCAGCTCACCCTAATGGTGAGGGGGATCAGGGCCTCAAGGATGGGAGATGAGAATCTAGTTCGTTAGCTGGATCCCCAGGGCATTCTGACACCACAGGTTTGGGCATCGCAGATGTAAGTTATCCAGAGGAGGAGACTAGCTTGCTATGGTAAGGAATCTGTGAGGTACGGAAAGGACATTGGGATCTTAACACCAAGGGCTAGCTTGAAATTCTGTGTGACATTAGCCTTGCTCTCTAATCACTCTTAGTCTCTTCACCTATCATGAGGCAAATGAAGCCTGGGAAAACCCCTCCCTCTATACACACATGTTCCTGAGCATTAGCTCAGGGAGGCAATGTTTAGGAAAGCCCTCATTATGCATGTGAAGGGTTGTAATAGTTAGCTTTTGTTGTATAACAAACAGTCCCAATTTTTCACACACTCAATTCTTGCTGACTTTTTATGAGGACTGCAGGGATAGTTTTGGGGATAGCTATTGGGATAGTTTTGCTGGGCTCCCCATGAAAACTGAAGGGGATACACTCTCTGGGGCAGGTGGAAAGTAGAAACAAAAAGGACAGAGCCCAATCCTCCATGTGTATTGAAAACTTGTGTTCAGATATGACCTACATCACATCTACCCCTCATCATTAGCCAAAGCAGGTCTCCTGGCTGAACCTTGGGGAATTACATAACTGCCTACAGGGAACAGTGCCCTGGGTGGAGAGGCAGTAAACAGTTGTCAACACATAGTACAGTTTTTTAGAAGAGTTATATTGTCCACAGTTACAGAACTCATGAGCTTTAACTCCAGTCATTCAATCAAGTTTTCCCTTGTCTGATTGAGTGATTATCTTCCAGTCTATGTGGCTCAATTCCATCTTGGCCTTTTTGAGGCTGTATCTGTCTCCATGTCTCTTGTGGACTCTTTCTCTCCTCCATCTTCTTCTCCAGAAGTGTTCACATCTCAAAGGAAAAGCTCTCAGGTACCATGCAATATAAATGCAAACAAAGAGAGGCAGCCATAAATCTCAGGGGCCTTCTTAAGTACTTTGGCATGCCTATCACTCAGCTTGGCATGGGCAAATGCACTTCTGCTTCTCTTCTTCAAGAAGGATATCTGCAAGGTGAGAGATCAGACAGAAAGGGAACTAGAATGTGGGGCCCCATGGGAGGAACTAAGTATAATTAAAGGAGGCCAGAGGCTTGCAAAGATTTCAGTGAGAGTAAGAAAAACATTGTCAGCATGAGTTCTCCCGCCCACTGTTTCAGGGACACAGGATGAGGAGGAGGTCCTGTGCCTGGGATTCATAACACATGTGGTTACTGAAGGAGGCCTGAGCTGGCCCAATTCAGAGCACAGTGAAGGATCACATGTAAGAGGGCTCAGTATTCTACAACCAGCCTCACCCCTGTGTGGCAGTATTTCTTCATCGGATTCCATAATTATTGAGTGTGTTGTCACTGAACAAACTTTTATCTCATACCTTATATCACCAAGACCCCATAACCAGTGCTTCCTGTAGGTTGGGCCCATCTCTGAGAACATGGAGATGAATAAGCCTCAGGCTCTGACATGCGGGGCTCAAGTCTATAGCACAAACTGAACCCTGTATCCCAGCAGAGGCCGTAAGAGATGCATGAGGATTGTCTAGGGTGGTGCAAACAAGTTCACTGCTCCAGCTGCCTTGTCTCTTTCTCCATAATGAAAATAACAACTATCATATCTGCAGCACTTCAGTCTCTTTATTTCATTTTCTCCCTTATGCTAACATACTGGTAAACAGTCCTAGAATTCTAACCCTGATTCTGACCCTTACTAGCTATTGACCCTATGTGAAGCTCAATAAATCATGTTTGATTTATCAAACATTTCATCAATGATTGAAGAGGGACAATAATACCTTCTTTTCCTCACAAGGTGTCTTGTGAGGATAAGAGCCAAAATGTTTATGTGGCCTAGAACAGTCTCTGGATGCACCCACTTTCAAAATGTTTTTAGGGGGATCAGGACTGGGATATTATGGAATGAATGTTTGTATCTTCCTCAAATTCACATGTTGAAACCACCCCCCCGCAATGTGATAATATTAGGAAATGAGGGCTCTGGTGGACAATTACACTTAGATAAGGCCATGGAGATTGGGTGCTAATGATGATTAGGGCTCTTATAAGAGACCAGAGAATTAGCTCTCTGTTTCTTTATCACCTGAGGACACAGTAAGAAGAAGGCCAGGAGGAGGGACTCCATCAGGAACTGAATCGGCCAGCACCAAGATGGTGGAAATTTTCATCTTCCATAACTGTTGTCCAAGCTACCCCATCTATGGTGTTTTGTTATAGCAGCCTGAACAAACTAAGGCATGACCCAAGGGCCAGATGAGGAAACCCATGTTAGTTATAGATTTTCCATAAATTCACTTTATAATATTGAAGAAGTTCCCTTTGCTTTTGAGTTTTGCCAAGTGTCTTTATCATGAACAGGAAAATGAATTTAAAAATTGGTATATTCACACAATAGAATATTGTCAACAATTTAAAAAAGCTACTTTTTTCATTGGCCAAAAAGTTAGTTTAGTTTTTTCCATATGATGGGTCTAGTAGTGCTTAGTTGTTTTGATTTCATTTGAAACAATTTTGTTAGATTGTATTGTGACAGGTGCCATATTAGCATGCATTTTAAAAAATTCATCAAAATTTGTAAATTTTTGTGTAGCCATTTTAACATTGAAGGTGGAAGAAAATATACATGTTCAGTGTATTGTGCTTTATTATTTCAAGAAAGGTAAAAACACAGCTGAAACACAAAAAGATTTGTGCAGTGTATGGAGAAGGTGCTGTGACTGATCAAAAATGTTAAAAGTGGTTTGTAAACTTTCCTGGTACTATGACATTTTGGCCAAATAATTGTTTGCTGTGGGACTGTCTTATGCATTGGAAGATGTTTAGCAGCACCCTTGGCCTCTACCCACTAGAAGTCAATAGGAGGAGATACCTGACATACTCAAAATATCCAAATCAATAAAGTTATTGATGAAAATAAAAATATGTCTTTTATTTTACAGAAAAATACTAAATGTACTTTTTGGCCAACCCAATAGCATATATAAGAACATGGATAAATCTCAAAAACATATTGAGTTAAAAAAGATTATAGAGTATCTACTGTATGATCTAATTTTATTTTTTTTAAATAGAAGTGCCAATTGGACACACTTTATTCTGCTTTTGTAGAATAAGGTTTGCAAGTACACAGTCAAATGCATGTACATGGAACTTTCAGAAAAGCAATATAGAAGTGGGGAAATTCATCCTTGTGAGCTCTCACAGCTACCTATCTATCTGCCAGAGGTGTCAAGTAAAATTCAGCGTATTTATTAAGTAGATAGGCACATCTCAGGCTTAGTTCTACTTGCCTGTTACTTTGTGCCTGTACACTTTTTTTGTTGTTTATTCTGTAATAAATTTGGGATGTCCCAAATTTTTCCCCTTTGCCCTGCTCTACTCAGCCTACCCCTCACTCCCTCAGTCAATCCCCACTTTGTTGTCCATGTCCATGGGTCATTCATACATGTTCTTTGACTAATCCCCCCTCCTTCCTCCCACCATTTCCCTCTCCCTTTTCCCCTCCTAAAGCTGTTAGTCTGTTCCATGTTTCCATGTCTCTGGTTCTATTTTGTTCATTAATTTATTTTGTTCCTTAGATCCCAGTTACAAGTGAGATCATATGGTGTTTGTCTTTCACCAACTGGCTCATTTCACTTAGCATAATGATCTCCAGTTGCATTCATGCTGTTGCAAAAGGTAGGAGTTCCTTTTTTTCTGCTGAGTAGTATTCCACTGTGTAAATGTACCACAGTTTTTTAATTCACTCATCTACTGATGGGCACTTAGGCTGTTTCTAACACTTGGTTATTTTAAATTGCACTGCTGTGAGAATAGGGGTGTATAAGTTCTTCTGAATTGGTGTTTTAGTATTCTTAGGGTATATTCCCAACAGTGGAATTGCTGGGTCATAAGGCAGTTCCATTTTCAATTTTCTGAGGAAATTCCATACTGTTTTCTACAGTAGCTGCACCAGTCTGCATTCCTACCAACAGTGCACTAGGGTTCCAAACTCTTTTTATGAGGCCAGTATTATACTAATTCTAAAATCAGATAAAGACACAACAAAGAAAGAAAATTATAGGCCAATATCTCTGATGAACATAGATGCTAAAACCCTTAACAAAATATTGGCAATCCAGATCCAGCAATACATTAAAAAGATTATATACCACAATCAAGTGGAATTTACCCCAGGAGTGCAAGGGTGATACAATATTCACAAATCAATAAACATAATATGTCATATAAACAAAATGATGGACAAAACCACATGATCATACCAATAGATACTGAAAAAGCATTTGATAAAATGAAGCACCCATTTATGATAAAAACACTCACCAAAGTGGGAATAGAGGGAAGCATAATTTAACATAATAAAGGTCATATATGAGAAACCTACTGCCAATATCATCCTCAATGGGCAAAAATTAAAAGTATTCCCCTTAAGATTAGACACAAGACAAGTGAGTCTGCTTTCACCACTCTTATTCAACATCATACTGTATGATTTCATTTTAAGGTAGTTTAAGAAGAGGGAATACCTACCTATAGTAATAGAAATTACATAGTGTTTGCCTCTGGGTAGGGGGATTGACTAGAAGGGGGCATGAAGTAACTTTCAGAAGGAATAGAAATGTTTTGTATTTTGTTCTGGGTCTTGGCCACACAGATGTATATGTATCAAATTTTATTGATAAACACTAATTTGTATGAATGTTTGTAATTTTATTATGATGTGCCCAGGTTTGGTTTCTTTTGTGGTTAATCACACTTTTGATTCATAGCGCTTCTTGCATCTGAAGCTTGATGTTTATTGCCACACTTGAAAACTCTCAGTCACTATGCCCTCAAATACTTTTTTTTGGTCCAATTTTCCTTCTCTTCTCTCTCTGAAAACACAATTACACACATGTTAAGGTAGAAGAGGCCAAAGGGAGCCCCCTCAGGCTAAATGACCTTTGTGCCTTTTCACCCAATTCCTTCTGTGCCTTTGGAGAGCCCACATACCTTCAGGTCTCTATCTAAGGGCTGAAGAGTCTTATTTCCAGGTCAAAAAGCTACCTTTCAAAATTTGTTTTAGGGGTAAAGATTCAAAATATAACTATCCATTCTCCTCCCTGTTCCACAAAAAAACTGCTTTTTAATAATTAGTTCTTATGCCTCGAAGGCGTCATGACCTCATGAGATGCAGATACACTGGCAGACTTTCAGACACCTCTGGCCCATGAAAGGGAGCCATGGGCAGGGGAGGTGACATCTCCTGTCCCCTTGGGTAGTCACCTTGCCTTCCTCATTTGAAATCTAGTCTCATTTAGGTTAAAAAAAAAAGACAGCATTGGCAGTTGCCCTGGCTGGTTGGCCCAGTGGATTGAGTGGCAGCCTGGGAACCAAAGGGTCACCGGTTTGATTCCCAGACAGGGTACATGCCTGGGTTGTAGGCCAGGTCCCCAGTAGAGGCTGTTCACGAGGCAAGAACACATTGATGTTTCTCTTCTTCTCTTTCTCCCTCCCTGCCCCTCTCTCTAAAAATAAATAAATGAATAATTTAAAAAACCGCATTGGTACATAATTTTATGGTTTGAAAAGCAGCTTCCCATATGCTTTAAATAAGCTAATGCTTAGCATAAATATATTCCTATTTTACAAACGTGAAATGCAGAGCTCAGAGTAGCTCTCGTGTGCTGGGTGCCTTAGAGACATTATCTTATCTAATTATCACAAAACCTGTGGGATGTGAAGCTTCCCCAGCCTGCTCACTTGGCGAAGGCCTGGGTTCCCTCTTGGATCTAACACAGAATCCATGATTTCCCATCACACTGTAGTAGACCACTCTGCCTAGTTTTAGGAATTGTATCTCTACTCCTTGTGGCTAAGGGTGAGAGAACGACCTTTGGAATGCCAACTGCAGGAGACAAAGCCTGTCTCTGGTAGCAAATGCTGCCTCAGTTCCTCTCCCTGCCCCCAGAGCTTGGTCGGAAGTCAATGACAGGTAAGACCCCTCGGAGCGGGGGGCAACCTAAGCCAGACTTGATCACTTGAGAGGCCTTCATGAAAGGACACGGGGGCGCTGCAACAAGGAGCAATGGACTCTTGCCCCCCAGCTTTGTCAAAGCCCGAGTCCCCATGTTCTCAGGGAGAAGTACTTCCTGGCTCTAATCCTCTTAAGCCTGAATACCTGATGGGGAAGGGTGCAGCTCCTTGCCTTGCTAAAGGGTGTCCTGGGGGAAAATCTGGCATTACAAAGATTTGCTGATAAACCTGTGAAATCTGCTCTGCTAAGAGTGCTTTCATTCATATGATAAGGGTCCGAGAGGAAATGAGTATGTCTCCCCAAGTTTCTGCGACTCTCTTCCTGACAGACACTGACTCAGACTCTGAAGCCCTCAGATCTCTTTGTAATGTTATCTACTGTTTGATCCTTGTCGCCCTGTATTCCTGTGTATTACAACCCAATAAAAGGCTATGGAAGAGGGAGCTCGGGGCCTTTTTCTCTTCGGAGAATCTGGTGGCTGCTGGCCTTTGTCTTCCCAGAAAAACTGGCCACAGCCCACTCCTCCTCTTCCCCAAACAGATCTCATCTTGTCTCGGCCATATTTATTCATTCACGTGTGTCTGTGGCACCAGGGGGACCTGCGAGAGTAGTCGCACACACTATAGCTCCTTAGAGTCAGAGAGTTCATAAATGATTCTAACCAAGGCTAAGAGTAAGGTTTTTCTAACTCAAATACTCCTTTTTTCCTCCCTACTTTCCCCAGTTTTTACTTATTAAGAAAATAACAATAAGAATAAAGAAAAGTACAATAAATTTATGTGTAACTCGGTCACTCTAACTTAACTATTTTAATATTCCTAAGTCTCCTTTGAGTCTTTATCCACAAGCTTACATATTTTATGTTGCTTTCATCACACTTCACCCCCAACCTTAAACCCCACCCTCACCCTTGCCCCAGCCCAGATATCACCCTGGATTCTGCATTCCTCTCCTGATGTCACATCATGGGTGTTTCCCCATGTCATTGTCCTCAATGTAACCATGCTCGGTGGCTGTAGATTGTTATGGTAGGAACCCCATGCTTTTTCTGCTCCATGCCTCTCACTCCAGGCTCCCCGCAGCTGAACATCAAACTTCAAGATGAGGGCTCCATGTCCATATGTGTGTTTAGAAGGGAATGTGATGCTGAGAAGTCTCTTTTTAAAGGCTGAAAGTTTAGCATCAAATAAGAATCAACATGCCTGCCATTAAGACAACAATTTTTTATCCAGATTTAACCAGCTTTTTTATTTAGTTATTTTTCGAGTCCAGTTTTCTATTTCTTCCATTCCAGCCCACCCCTCCCCCCTGCACGCCACCTCCCTCCCATTTTCATCCCCCCCTAGTTATTGTCCCTGTGTCCTTTATACTTGTTCCTCTAAATTCCTCCCATTTTTTCCCCTTAAATTCCCTCCCCTCTTCCCTCTGGTCGCTGTCCCCCTGTTCTCTATTTCAGTGTATTTGTTTTTATTTTGCTTGCTTGTCTGTTTTGTTGTTTAGCTTCCTGTTAAAGGTGAGATCATATGGTATTTGTCTTTCAACCCCTGGCTTATTTCACTCAGCATACAATTTTTAAAGGCTAATCACCAACAGGTGAATTTATGTAAATCCTTGCTTAAAACCACTATATTGAAGTCCAGGAGGAAATGTACAGTAACTACCCCCTAATGCCTTTCTTTGCCTGGACATTCAGCAGGAATGGCAATTTCATTTAAGGGAAAATTTCAGCAGAAATAAATTTTTCTAAATCAAATTCAAGGGTCACTGATTATTGAGGCAACCATGGGTGTGTGGATGCTACTATTTATAGTTTGGTTAATACCTATACATAGTAAAAAAATATTTATGGAGATGATGAATTTAATAATGGGAGTGAAGCAGATTTACAGTCTGAAAAATATAATTGCTTCTTGATATCAATTAAAGGACTGTTTCCAAAATCAATGAGAATTTTAAAGAATAATGTGAGCCTGAGTGAATGATAACTAACTTGGAAGCAATTTTAAAATCTTGCAGTGAACAAGTCTCTTGAGTCCCATGAAGGGTTTTATGGGCCTTTGAGGAATAAGGTAAGATTCTTTAAAACTTCCATTGATTCGAAATGAAAGTGAAGCTTGCACACACCACTGAACTGCCACTTGTGTCGCTACATAAAGCTATGTTGGACATGGAGCTCCGGGAGTGATGAATCAAAGGGAGTGAGAGAGCTTGGAGCTGGTGCCTTATAGGCTAGAGCCAGACAAGAAAACACTGCCAAGCCTGTGGAGGGGGATGAGCCTTGCCCTTCATATGGGGTGGGCAGCCCCTCAGCTGCAGAGCTGAGCAGTGGAAGAAGGAAAGTCCAAGAGAGATCAAAGGATGAAAGTCATACAATTTCACTACTCTGCAGACATCTGTCTGGTTTCTATTGGGTGGTGGAATCATGATAGGCTCTGAGGAGACAGAGATGAGTAAGAAAGGATCTTGTTCTTGAGGGGTTTGTGGACCAGAAGAAAAGCCAGCTGTACAAAGACCAAAAGGGCAATATAACCTTTGTCCGCAATTATGGAGAACTCATTAGGCAATGGGCAGTGCAACAAGCATTTGTCATGCACTATATTATTAAAGTTCTCACATGGAAATTCCATTTTACAGATTTTAAAACTGAGGCAAATAGAGGTTATATAACTTGCCAAGGTAATTTATTTTGCAAGTGCAAGAGCTGGAAATCAAACCAAAACATCCTGCATTTGTTAAAGTTGCTAATACTATTTGTAGTGGGATTTGGATCATGGACCTTTGCTGTGTGTTACCAAAATGATGGCCACAACACAGAGGAGAACACCATAAAGGTGAATGTCCAGTGCTGTGGGGCTGCTCAGGAGAAAGGCAAACTCACTTTGCCTGAGGGAAATGGGGAACTCAGCCAGATGGATTTCTCCAAAGCAATGACGTTTAACCAACTATTCAAAATAAATGGGCATGGACTTGACAAGATATATCAAGAAGGATATTTTACAAAGACAGAATGGTAGCATATGCCAGGAGGCAAACAAGGGCCATGAGATGGTCCTGTTAGTTGTAAAAAACACTTCTTCAGAGCATTTCAAACAATGGCTGCCATGTTTTTAATGATTTCCCATGGCATTTGCCTGTGACAAAGTCCACTGCACTGACTATGCATCTGAAGCATGCCTGATTTTTAGCTGAGCTTCAGCTCAGGAATCTGAAGGCTAGGGGAAGAATTCCTCCACTGCCTCACTGTGTAACAATGGTCAAGTTACTCAATGATGCTGAATCTCTGTTTTCCTATTTGTAAAATGAGGATGTAATATCTACTTCTAATGTTTGCTGTGAGGTAAGACTAAATCCAAAATATCTGGTATGGGGTCTGGCGCACTGTAAGAAGAAATAATTCTGAGTGTCTATTAATATCTGTGTCCATATGTATACATATACATATCTTTTAAAACCTGTTCTTATTGTTTAAAACCTGTGCTCAAAGAACATCACGAATCATAGTTGCCATGATAAAATGAAGCAACATATTATCAACTAAAGTAGAGAATCATAGGATGATACAGACTCAAAATGGGGAGGACCCCTAAGATATTATGTGGTGCAGGCTTCTGGGTGGTCTCTGATTCTCTGTTGAACTTGGTTTCCAGCACACCAGATCCCACCCAGCTTCAAGAAAATGTTTGAAATAACAAATAGAGGAGAAACATGTTCTGCTGAGGTAGGTACTTGGGCATGGAATAAATATGCCATGTCTTGAATCTTGGTCCCATTACCAACTATCCATGAAAGCTCATACATTTTAGTAAACTTGGCTGCACCTTAATTTCTTCAACTTTAAAATGGAATTATAATAACACTTACTGCATCACATTCTTGGGAGGATTAAAAGAGAAAACGTACATCCATCTCCTAGAGCAATGCTTGATCCATAGTAAGTGTCCAAAAAAGCAAAGTCAGAGATGCTTGGCCTATGTGATAATTTGGCGTGGTGGTGGTGAGGAGACCAATGTGGCTGCAAACAGAGGGTTCAGCCTAACAGGCTGCTGTAGCTAACATTGTCAGCTGGCCAGAGATTCATCTGGTGCCCCTGGCAGGACCATACACCATACTTTTGTTGTTAAAGTACTGAAATCTGCCCACATACTGTTATTGACCTGAGATAACTTCCTTGACCCCTGCCCCTGCACCACACACAGAAGTCCCCTGAACCCAGAACTAAAGATTAGTCAGTGCCCAGAACTACAGGTGACCTCCAGGCCAGCCTGCTGTAGCACTATGACCAGTGACCAATTTTGATTATCAGTGCACAGAGGACTCCAGAGCCAGGCTGGGGAGATGGTGTGCTTTATTCTGGAGACCACAGAAATCCACTGGCAGTCTATTGTCCTTAAAAATTCTCTTTGCCATGGAAAGGTACAGTGGTACAGTGGGGCTCACCACCTGTTACAAGCAGGAATATTTGCCCCACCCAGACTTAACTACAGGCATTTTCTCTTTTCCTTGTATTTTCCTGTGGACTCTTTGGGCCTGATCAGCCATGTCACTGATGCTCATATTGAGGTCCTCACACCAATACAAGACAACAGGGCTGCTCAGTGGTCTTTTCTTGATTCCAATTTCACCACTGTGATAGTTACGTAGTCACTTCTCCCATCTAGGAAGAATGTGGATGGTCACTTTGGATCTACCTCTGCCTTTTGCTTTTTCTGTACAATAAGTCAATTTGCCCTGTGAATTTTTCTCAATGATTTCTCTCACTGTTTTGTCTCCCCAACTCATTCCCCAGACTGGTCCCCTACAAATCTCTCCATCAGTTAGCACATCCTCTCAGCATCTGCCATTTTGACCTTATCTTCTTGCCTCCCTTTGGAGACAGAGGGAGTGTGGGGAGCTCCTAAGGAGGGAGTGCAGGTGCTGGTTAGTTCTAAGCTGACACATCTGATGATGAGGAGGATGCTCTAAAGCAGTGTCAGTGCATTAGGGAGCTGTTTGAGCCAACTGGGAAAGCTTCCTTGAGGAAAAATTGGAAATCGATCTCTGATGGTTTTTAAATGAAAGAGGGAAGTGTTCCTTGTTATCTTTAAATAAGGCTGGGTAATTTTATCAAGGAGGCTGATTATATTGGAATTTTTGATTGATTCAGAAACGTAATTATTTCAATTCAAAAAAATACAGAATTACATTGGTTAAAACATTCATTTTCCTGTCTCACATTTAAACAGATTACAGGATGCTTTGTTCTCTTCTCTGTAGATGGTTATTGAGCAAAATCTGGACCTTCCAGATGCTTGACCTGCTTCTTTTTCAGACTCAAGGCACACAAACAGTGCTATTTCTTTTCTGTCCAGCATGTCAGGGCAAAGGAGTTTAAAGAACTCTGAGGTAAGCCTTCTGGCAAATCCTTTGAAGAACCACCAAAAGAATGATCAGAAACCATCTGCCAGATAAACAGGGGACCCAGGAATAAGATGAGGATGGGTCACCAGTTTGTCTTTTCATTATCAAGGCAGAAGTTTTCTAACTCTTTCATTTTTCCTCATGGCCTCAGTTACCTTCCCCACCCAGTCCCCATCACCTGAATTCTGTTTGAATGTGTATAAGCATTTTCAGCTACCCAAATTGGTTCTCATTTTTCCCCTATATGTTAATCATGTTACCTCAATTCATTTATAAACTCTTTGAGGTCTTAACAGCTCTCTCACACCAAGATGCCAAAAGAAGTGGTTCACAGTCTCTTGATGATAGTTTATTCATTAACATTTACTATGATGGGAAATGATCCCTGTTGAAGGGAACTCAATCCAAGGATATTGGTTTTATATTTTAACCACTGTGGCCAATGAACAAGATGACGGGTTTGTTGCAACTTGTTGTTATCTTTGTATAAATGAATGAATGGGGGTTTGCCTCTACACATCACCTTGGAAAGCTAGTATTGGTAATCTGGGCAGGTTCCAAGGAGACATTAGTGGGTGCTGCGGGAAACAGCCTGCGGGAAGACAGATTAAAGGAGGCAGGGTGGCTTCTTAGTTAAGCACTAAAGCCCTGAGGTCAACCTGCCTGCATTTGAATCCTGATTCTGTTATTGATTTTCTGAATGAAATTGGACAAAGTTTTTAGGTGTTCTTTTCCTTTGTAGTAAGCAAACAAAAAATGGTGCTGGGGATAGAGAACGTTAAGAATAGAAATTATTGCTGAAACTTCCCGTTGCAAAAGGTAACTCGGACCTAATTTGCTAGTATCTAGATACTGGGTTTCCTGTTATTCTTGTGATATCACTCAGATCTCTATTTTAAAAACCTCACAAAGGTCCGTTTCAATGTGTTTGTATCTTGGGGATGACCACACACATGATCTTTAGCAGAGGCCTCTTGTGAAAGGTGTGCTGATGCAGGAAAGGGGGTATAGACTAGGACCTGGGTGGCAGACCTGCCTCTGGAGCCCTGGGTGCCCTTTCACACAGCTGCAGCTAACTCAGATACAGTTGCCTTCACTTGTTAAACTATCAAAACAACAAATTTGCATCACCCCAGTGCCCTGGCTGGTGTGGTTCAGTTGTTTGAAGCGTCATTCTGTAGACTGAAAGGTTACGGGTTTGAAAGGTCAGGATACATGCTTGGATTGCTAGTTTGGGATGCATGCAAGAGGCAGTCAAACAATGTTTCTTTCTCTCTGTCTCTTTTTTTCTGTTCCTCTAAGCATATCCTCAGGTGAGGTTTAAGGGGGCGGGATTGTATCACCCCAGAAAGTTACCTTCTGCCTCTCTTCCTCTTGGTAATCTATCCCTCCTCCTATAAGCATCTCTAGGTAACCACTGATTTTTTTTATGTCACTATAGATTATTTTGCATTTTCTAGGATTGGAAGCATACATTATGCTTTTAAAAAATCTGGCTTCTTTCATTCAGCATAATTACTTTGAGATTCATCCATGTTATGTGTATCAACAGTTTATTAGTTTTTATTGCTAAATAGTATTCCATTACGTAAATGTATCACAATTGTTTAATCACTTATTTGTGGATAAACCCTCAGGCTATTTTCTTTTCTTTTTTTTTTTTTTTTGGTTATTCAAAAAAGCTACTATTAACATTTATACATAAATCTTTTGTTTTATGTATGTTTTCATTTCTCTAGAGTAAATGTTACTGATCAGCAATTGGGTTCCTGCGGCTTGCCATCACCCTCTAGGCAAAATTTCAGAGGCAAAGTTTTGGTGATAAAGGAAAGCAGTCTGTTCAAAACCTTCACTATTTTGTTTTTTGGTTTTTTTTAATTTTTTAATTTTTATTTCATTTATTGTGCCATTACAGTTGTTCTATTCCCCCCCTTATTTTCCTCCACCCTGCACCCCCACCCCCACCATTCCCCCTTTAGTTTATGACCACATGTCTCAAGTTCTTTAGATTCTATATTTCCCATACTATTCTTGCCCTCCCCTATCTATTTTCTACCTACTGTCTATGCTACTTATTTTCTGTACCTTCTCTTCCCTTCTCCTCCTCCCACTCCCCTGTTGCTAACCCTCCTTGAGATCTTCATTTCTATGGTTCTGCTCCTGATCTAGCTGTCCTTTTAGTTTGCATTTGTTTTAGGTGTGGTTGTTAATAACTGTGAGTTGGCTGTCCTTTCACTGTTCATCTTTTTCATCTTCTTTTTCTTAGATAACTCCCTTTAACATTTCATATAACAAGGGCTTGGTGCTGATGAACTCCTTGAATTTGATCTTATCTGAGAAGCACTTTATCTGCCCTTCCATTGTAAATGAAAGTTTTGTTGGATAGAGTATTCTTGGTTGTAGGTTTTTGGATTTCATGACTTGGAATACCTCTTTCCAGGCCCTTCTTGCCTGTAAGGTCTCTTTTGAGAAATTCTCTGACAGTCTGATGGGAACGCCTTTGTAGGTGACTGTCCCCTTATCTCTTGCTGCTTCTAGGATTCTCTCCTTCATTTTAATCTTGGCTAATGTAATGATGATGTGCCTTGGTGTGTTCCTTCTTGGGTCCAACTTCTTTGGGACTCTCTGAGCTTCCTGGATTTCCTGGAAGTCTATTTCCTTTGCTGGATTGGGGAAATTCTCCTTTATTATTTGTTCAAATAAGTTTTCCACTAGTGGCTGTTCCTTTCCCCCTTCTGGTACCCCTATAATTCGGATATTGGAGCATTTAAAGATGTCCTGGAGGTTCCTAAGTTTCTCCTTATTTTTCTGAATTCTTGTTTCTTCATATTTTCCTGTTTGGTCATTTTTTCCTTCCTTCTGGTCCACTCCCTTGATTTGAGTCCCAGTTTCCTTTTCATCACTATTGATTTCCTGTGCAATTCCCTTCATTTCAATTAGTTTAGCCTTCATATGTTCCTCTAATTTGTGACTAAAATCAACCAGTTCTGTGAGCATCCTGATCACCAGTGTTTTGAACTGTGCATCTGAAAGTTTTGCTATTTCTTTGTCGCTTAGAGTTATTAGGCTCTGGGGCTTTGAGATCTTCTTAAGCCATTTTTTGTCTGTTCGTGCCTATTAAGTATGAGGAGCAGAGCCTTAGGTGTTCACCAGGGCAGGGCGACCCAGGTCGCTGGTTTGTGACCCTGTATGTGGGGGCGGGGTCAAAGCGGGGAAATGGCATCCCCCACTGCTGCCTCCTGCTTGGTCCTATCTCACTGCCCACTCCCTCGCTGGTCTATCTGCGTAGGAATGCGCGACCTCACTGGGTCCACTGGTTGC